GAGAACACTATCTCATCACGTGATCGATTGAAACCAATAAGAACCGGCGAAAATTTAGTGGTGAACTATAATCAATGATATGAAGCTTTGAAACTTTAGGTTACCTTTTAATAACACTTCCATCATGGCCATAAAGATATCCTTTCATGTTTCTTTGTGATGCTGCCAGGTCTTTTCCTCCTTTACCTGTTAAAAACTTTGTAGCTAGCACTGCATGTTCAATTTTTATCATCATCTGCTCAGGTTGAACCGTGAAGTACAGGTTTTCTCTGAATGGAAATAAATATATTAATAATGATTGAAATGAAAATTTAACTTAATGTGAGAATTACTTTTCTCTAGGATTTTAAAGCTATGAAGGAGTAGCAATCATCCAGGAACTTTTCATTAAGGGCGAGGGATCAAAACTTTGATTTAGGAAGAACAGTATTTATTGCAGTTGAGCCTAACTGAGTTAAGCAAATTTTCAAGATAAGTTGAGTTGAAATATGTTGGTTTCAGACAAGAAGTAAAAATACCCATAAATCTGATGTATGTGGGGGGAGAATTCAGGGAGTATCCCCCTACATCTATCATTAGGATTGAAATACCATTGAGGGCGAGGTGAGAGGAGTATAAGGTGAGCTTGCAATTGTGCTCAACTACTACATGTATCCCCTTATCTCACCCTTGGTTTCCTTCCCTCCTCATCCCCTATATTTCTCACATCTGCAACCTCTTATTCTGCCTTCCATCAGCTTTCAATTCCCTCAGCCCTTTACACTGATCTGTTTCACCTCTCATATCCCTCGGCATTAAACCCGCGCTATCTTTCATCCCCCCCCCAGCCTTTCTTCCCCGCTCTCTTTTCCCATTCAATATTCTCTCAATGTGTCACTCGATCCATTCTGGACCATCTAAACCTCAGATCAAATCCAAAGCTTCACAAACCTGATTGTTTGAAATTGTCCAAATTTTCCTGATGATGACATGTTTTTTGTCTGCCAGCGGTCCTTGGCAAATGTTGTTAAACTAATTGTGCGAGACTCCACAGGCCAAGATAACTCCCTTGCATCCATTACTTGGCATGGCGTACACATCTTGGAAGCTGTTTCTGTTAATGGTTATTTAAAAATGAACTTGCTCAAGTGATTTTCTTTTTAAACATGTGCACATGGACATCTTAATATTAAAAACATATTGTATAACACATAATGATCTAATACACATTGATATCTTAAATGAATCGTGTCCTGTTATCAGTGAGATAACCTTGCTGAATTAGTACATCAATTGATAATTTATTACTGTTAGTAAAAAGTACTGTTGAGCTGACCTTTCATTCTATGCCAAACTCAAACCGCCTACCATTGTAACAGCAGTAACTCAAGTCCTCAATATGAACTGATCGTTTATGATCATCTTCCTTATCTTCCTTGGGATCTGATAGAAGAAATCTCATGGTTGCATCAGGTGCTGTATCATACTGTCAACAATGAAAAAAGAAAATCATGTATGTTTATCACATGATTAAAAAAAAAAAAA